ACCATGAAGGCACTCGCGGACATTTCGCGCCAAGGGCCTCCTGGATCGGGAAGCCGTGTTGGGGCTGCTTTGGAAGGTTTCGGGGTCCCCCTGGGGCCTTTGGGGCCATCTTGGGGCCACCATCGAGGTCACCGATCAGAGAAAAGGGGGTCCTTATTCGGGGCTGCCTCGTCGGAGCTCGAAATGTCACCTCTTGGAGCCATCTTGCGGCGCTCTGGGGGGGCTCGCCTGCTCCCCTCCAAGGGGCTCTCTATCGGGCGATCAGGGTGCCATCCCGAGGCCTCAAGAGGCCCATCGAGAGCCAAAAGGCGAGAAGCCAGGGAACACTGCATAGCATTAGGCTTCTGACTGATTTGGGTTTCTCGGGGTGTCGGAGCCGTCTCGGGGTGGTCCTGTGGCCTCCCGGAGGCAGGTTGGGGGACAGATGAACAATATTGGAGGCCATCTTGTGGTATGTGAGGCCATCTGGGCGCCAGCTTGGCCAAAAAGCATCCCAAGTTGCCACTGAAAACAAATATTTCACGACAAAAAACTGCTCCATCAGTGTGGCTCTGAGCGATGGGGGTTCCATGTTGTAGCCTTGCCCCTCTTGCGCGCGAGAGGTCGCCTCTTTGGGGCCCTCTTGAGTGGCTATGGGGCCGCCTTGGGTTCCTCATCGGCCCTTCTTCCTTGAGATTCTGGCTTCGCAATGTGTTCATCACTGGCGTTTTCGCCCGGTGCCAGGCCCGGGGACCTTCACATACTGATCTGGCTTGAAAAATGGCGCAGCAAGATGAGACTTCGGCCTCCCGTCGCGGTTTTCCGCGATGCCGATTTCTTTGGCTGCGTCAGATCTGAGCGTTGGGCCAGCTCAGCCCGCGATTGTACGTCATCATCTCTCAGTTCTGCACGAACGAAATGAGCACGGAAAGAACGGGTACAATGCCCAACAGCAGTTCTTGCTCCTTTTGAACAGGACTCGCTGTCCGCGCCGCCGTGGCTGTGTCCGTTTGAGACAGAAGCGGCCGCCCGCCCAACAGCGGCCGCTGTTGGCTTGGGACAGCATTTGTCGTTGGGCACTGTACCCATCTTTTCCGTACCCGTTTCGGGCGTCCAAATCAGTGGTGGATTGTCGCAACAGGGACCTTTGGTGCGGGCTCATCGGGCTCCCCCCGATCGCCGAGCGCGATGCGATACAAGCGGCCCGCGCCCTTGGGTGTGGCTCCCTCGCGCCCCCAAAAGCTGCGCACCAAAGGTCACTCTTACCCAGGGTCACTCTTACGCCTAGCCGAGGACTGTCGCAACAGGGGCTCTTTCTCCCCCCTTCCCCCGCCCACCACCCCCGCCCCCCGCAGGCCCACGGCGCCGCCGCGCGCGGGCGGGTCGCACGCGCCTCCGCGCCCGGCGGCGGGGCCAAGAGGCGGCGCACCAGGACGTGACGCCCCCGGCCGCTCGGCCATCCGAAGCGCGGGGGGCGGAGGAGGGGAGAGGAGGAGGAGGGGAAAGGGGAGGAGATACAGCAGGGGCCCATGCCGAGAAGCGCCCTGCTTGCCTCCAGGACGCCCCGGGTTTCTTGGGCTTCGACGGCTCTGCGACGGAACGCGTGGCGTTGCCACACCAAAAGTCAGTGGACACCGTGGGGTCTCAGGGTTTGGGTTGCTTGTGGAAGGTTTCTTGTGGTCGGGCCCAAAAATTTCCTCCAGCCTCTTGAGCGTCCTCCTCCCGCCCCCTCCCTCCTCCTGCTCAACTCTCCTCCTCCAAACCTCCTCTCCATCCACTTTCTCCAACCAACTATTCCTTCTCCTCCTCTTTCTCGTTCTCATCCTCCTCTGTATCGTTCTCATTCCAGAGGGGGGGGGGGCGGCGGGGGAGGGGAGGAGATACGGTGGAGCGGCCAGGCCCGCGCGGCGCACATTCGGTGTCGCCCGCGGAATAGGATGCCGCGCCGGGCGGCCCCTCCGTCCGCGGCGCCCCAACCGGGCGGGTGCCGTCAGGCCGCTCGGAGGGAAGGGGGGGAGGGCAGGGGCAAGGGGGGGGTGCCCTGATCGGGGGCGGCCTAGAGGGGGGTGATGACTAGGGAGGGGGGATGTCATGGCGGAGGCCTCGATATCTCCCCAGATTCCATGGCGCCTCTTCTCATTTCAATGCGTCGGGCCATGATTTGCACACCCCTCTTGGACGCCCCCCTCTTGGACGCCCCCGACCTGAGCTCCTTGCGATGTCATTTTTCCACAAACGGGCGTTTTTGTCCAGTTTCGGGCCCCGGGGTCCTCGCTCCTCGATCCGGCCTGGAAGATGACGCAGCAGGATGCGGCCGGTGGCGCCAGTCATCAGTTGTTGTGCGATGTTGCTGCAACGTCGGATCTCAGGGTGGAGGAGGGGGAGAGAAAGGAAGGGGGAGGTGGAACTGGAGAGCCGGGGAGACAGGGGGGCAGGGGGGTTGGGGTGGGAGGGGGGCGGGGGGGGAGGGAAAACGAGAGGGATGGGGATGCCAGGCGAACCAGCACCAGTCGGCATCCCAAGTGGCCAGTTAGGTACTGACACAGTGCCGCCTACGTGACGCCTACTAAAACCGTGTGGCCCAGGCGGCGACGGACTCCTTCGGCAAAGAAGGTGGGACGCTGATTGAAAAACGCGCAGGTCAGGATGAGGCTGACCTCGCTGCGACGCCCAGTCAACAAGGCCCTGCTCAGGTGGGGACGCGCAGTGCCCAGACAAAAGCGGCCCTCACCATCGCGGCAGCCAGACGGACCCTGAGCATAAGAAGTTGGCACGAAACACACTGCAGCAGAGGCTCGCGCACAGCAGCGGAAGAAATGAAAACGCACTGCAGAGCAATAGCAAGGAAAGTGTCCCGGCTAGCTTGCAGAGTTGTTGGATCATTATGTTCTCAACGTCTTGCGCCTGGTTGACAGTAATGACGAGCTGCTGCCGCCAAGCCTTCCTTTTGAACCTTGACGGTCCAGGAACGCTTGACGAGCTTGATGGGAACGGAGGGCGTTCGCGCGTCGAGTAAGGGGGGCGGCTGACGTCGATCGCCGCGTTGGCACGGCAAGTGCATCGCCCCAAACGGTGCGCGCCCACCGACGAGAAGCCAATGCGGAGGCTGGCGCCCTCAGGTTGTCGGGGGCCCAGTTCACGATGCCACGAAGAGCAGCCGTAAGGGTGCGCATATAAGTTCGCCTGCAGGTCGGCATCTCGTGGATGCACTGGCTCCCCGAGTCTGCCAAGCATCTGCTTTTCGTTTGGGCGACGCCATGCCACCGTCGCGCCAGCGCAGCGGAATGCTGCAAAGAAATCCGACTCCGTGCGGAGTTAAGATTTCCAATATAGAGGACATGGTGTCCAGCTCGTGCGCGGTGGCCCAAACTTTAAGAAAATAAATGGTATGTGCCTTCTCGTTTGGGGCATCTTAGATGTTCCAGCGACCTGCGACATCGCCCCCCCGGCCAGACCCAGGAGGCGGGGTAGGGGGAGGGGGGCAGGCGCAAGGAGACGCAAACACTACTGGATAACGCCTCTGCCCCGTGCGCTAGGCAATTAGGTTCGCGCGTAGCCCGCCCGACCTCTGACGCTGGTGGCGCGCTCGCCTGCGGCCGCGACAAAAAGGAATCCCCACCAGCCCATCCAGAAACGATGCACACAGGAATTGCCTCGATCAGGGAAGTGGGCAGCACACAGAAGAAGCCACTATGAGACATCTTGGGATATCTTGAGCCATCTTGGAGGTAATGTGGGGCTCTCCCAGGCGCTCTTGGAGTCATTTGAATCAGTGCCCCCCCAAGAGGCCAACATGTGGCTAAAACCTTCGTAGAATCAATGATTTGGCATTCTCGCCGAGGCCTCTTGGAGCATCTTGGGTGCCTCTGGGGGGTCTCTTGGGGCCTCTTGGGGGTCTATTTGGAGCCTCTTGGGGGCATCCTGGGGGCCTCTTGGGGTTTCCTGGCCACCTCTTGGAGCCCTCTTGGGGCACCCTTGGGGGCCAATGTTGGGCCATCTTGTGCGAGATCGATCACAGGAGGGGGGTCCCTAATTAGGGCCCCCCCTCAGGAGGCCAAAATGGGGCCAAAACCTTAGTAAAGCCAATGATTTGGGCTTCCTCGCCGAGGCCGTTTTAGACGCTCCGACGACTCCCGGAACCCCGTGTCCAGGTCCATGGGGAGGGGGTAGGGGGAGGCGTAAACCCCTCCCCGAAGGGGAAGAAGGAGGGGTGGAAGAGGAAGCGCCCTAAACCACCGACGCCCAGAGGGCTGGTGGGATTCCAGGAACCTCTTCCACGGCGCTCGTCACATTTGTGTTTGCGCCGAGGCTTCCGATCCCTCTTCCCTTCCAGCCCCAAGTTCCTCTGCTCGAAGCTTTGCTTCGGGCGAGGTCATCGTGAGGGCCTTCATCGCAGCCAACATACTTCTTCCACGGCGCTCAAACAGGGCACTGGCGCCGCGGGGGGAGTTTCCCGAAAATGGCGGCAGCGCCCTCTCGGGGCCCAGATCGGTGAAGTCCTAGAACGTCCTCCACGGCACTAAACGTGAGTCAGGCCTGTCCTTCTACAGGAGATATGTTCAAAAAGTGCCACAACAAATATTACGGGGACGATGTATCAGCTAGGTTTGACAATTTGTGATATGCTTCGACCATGTTTTAATCATTGACCCGAAAACCGCCTGTAGGGGGGCACGCCCGGCCGAACGCTAAACTTGTTTTTCCGCGCCGTGGAGCAGTTTGCCACAGTCGGGCGGCGGTCTTGGCGCCGTGGAAGAGTTCCCCGAGACTTCCCCGCTCCGAGCCCCCAGCGGGCGCCGCCCCGGCTTCGGGAAATTGCTCCACGCCGTTGGAAACCAAGCCGCGGAGGAGTTGCCCGACATTCCCTGAGCGGGGGCCCCGAGCGGGCGCCGCCCCGGCTTTCCGGAAATCCCTCCACGGCGTTGAAGCTTGGGATTCCGTGCCGAGGATGAGGCTCTGACCCCGTCCCGGGCCCCAAGAGGCAGCGCTGAGGCCGATGTGGAATCGCCGTGGAGGGTTTCCGAAATTGGCCCACGGGAAGGGCAGGTGGGCACGGAGGTGCTCCCCGATATTCCACGTATGACGTCCAAGGCATGTCGGAAAACCCCGCGCTTTCGCCGAGGAGGGGGGGAGGGGCGGGGGGCAGCGGGGGCGAAGCCCCCTTTGGCCCCCCATCCCAGCTACTCCCCGCCGAAGGACGGCCCACTCGCTCACTCCCACACGCCCGCCCGCCGCATACCGGATAAGTAGCACCCGCGTCTCAGCGTGGGCAGGTACCACCATCGACAATCATCGGGAACCAATGCAGACGCCAGCCAGGTGCGCGATGCCCGCGGAGGGCGCCACGCGTGCCAGGGCACGCCCCATCATTGTGTCAAATAACAACGCGAAGTGATTGCGGGGCGCCCGCGCATGATCAAGATTCTGCCGCAAACCGTATTTCGCTGCGTGTACTGACAAGGGTGACGGCCTTGCGCGCAGCAGGCAATGTGCTGCTCCTTCCCCCCCCGCTCGTCCCCGTCAAAGCACGAGTTCGAAGTGATCGCGTGGTGCCCGTCCATGATCCAGAATTCGCCGCAGAGTGCATGGCGTATTATCTTTTCACAAAGATGGTGGGGGGGGGTCATGGTTCCAGGTTCGCCCCAGTCAGATAAAAAAAGGGTGTAGTTTAAGAAGGAACAGTGATGAGGGGAAGAAGGGGAAGAGGAAACGCCCTCAACCACCTACGCCCTAAAGGGCTAGTGGGACTGATTTGTCTGGTGCTCGACCGTCTTGGAGGCGCCACGTAGTCGCACAGCTCAGGACGCAGCAAAACAAAACAAAACAACCTAAATAAAAAAAAGGAGGAGCAGATCCAACGCGAGCAGGAGCAGGAAATTATCGGAAGGAGCGGCGGGCGGGCCCGGGAAGAAAGGGAAGCTTGGGAGAGTTGCCCCACGGAGGGGCTAGCGTGTGTCAGCCCACGCCACGTTACTCTCTTCCTGCCCTGCGGCCGCCTCCTTCACACTCCCCCCTCTCTACGCGTCCCCTCCACCTCCTTCCCCCCTCTTCGCCTCTCCCCCGCTGCTCGTGCAGGACAGCGACGGCCAGCGCCTCCAGCCGTGTTCTGTGAGCAATCCTGGATCAAGTTTTCATCATCGATTTTCTGGTCTTCTCCCTGGCGGGCTGCTGCCGCCGTCGGCGGAGAGGCGCCTCGAGAGCGCCCGGCAGTCCGCCATGGGAGACCGTAGGAAGCTTTGGGGCAATCATGCATGATTGCATTTCTCGCAGCGTTGGAAGGGTGCGTTTGCGCCGCGTCGACGCGGCGGCGACCCCGGCGCGGCGTCCAGGGCTGAGCGCCGTCAGCTGTTTGGAATCGGCCGTCATCGAACGACGTGCGCTGTCAGAACGTCGCAATCGTCCAAGGCGGCACGGTCCGCGCGGCGTCAGAAACCAACGCCCGCGTCATCGCGACGTGAGCCTGCCGTGCCTCGGCCTCTGGCTTGCGATAGTGATCGCTGGCTCGCTCTACAATAGCCAAAGATGAGGCGCGCGAGAGGAGCAGCACCGTGGAGCAAAATCCGCTGAGAGCTCGCAATTGCACGTCTGATCTGACCATTGATATCTGTACTGTTTCTACTCCTAGCACTAGTTACGAGATGATAGCTACCACTACTACTATCGCACGGCCATCATGCCGCTTGCCGCTCTTAACAGGAGCGCAAGACCTCTTGCACCTTTTGCAGCCACGTGTTCATCCACATCCGTCGTCGTCCACTTCCAAGCATCATACCCATCATATATGTCCCCTCGTTTCCAGTTCGCCAGTTCTTCCTATATTCCTCGCCGTCACCCTGTCTTGACTGCAGTCCCCGTTCTCAGTTTCGCAGGTCAAGCATCATTGAAATATGGCACAGCTGGCAAAGTGTGAGAGGATGCTGTCTGCCGTACAGGGCTGAATGCAATCACTTGTTTGATTAAGTGGTAGAGGTTGCGGTCAGAAGTGCAAGCAGAGTTGTGAGAGTTTGAGGAGCGTCAAGCTGTCAGGCGCCTGCCCTCGGCAAAGCGATGGCCGCTGCCAACCAGCTCCACGGCCGAGAGCGCTGCCTCGAGGGCTGCTGCCAATGGTGGCCACTGCTTGCGCGCGGCGGCTGCGTGCACGGGCGCACATTCGCCACCTTGCCTGGACACCGAGCTGTCGTATTGTCTTGGAGGGTTGATTCGACATTTCGCGTGCGTGCGCGTACATTTGACGGAGTTTGGGCTTCAATTGCGGGCATAGAGCGCACGGGAGTTCAAACCGACGTCGAGTTGTTTCCAGCTCGTTGTGTCGCGTCTTGTTTGCAAATGGACCAATTCGACATTGCCTCACATGTTCGATTGCAGTCATCCAACATATCCGACAATTGTTTTAACCATCGGCGGGTCCTTATGTCTGTATGTCGGGCAGTAAAGGTTGAGCATGCAACGCATGCGCGGCAATGGAAGTAAAGCCATTCTGGAAAATTGACTTGGCTCAGCGGCGTGCTCAAATGCCAAACACTTAAGTTCACGGCAACAGACGTGGCGACATTTTGCAAAAGCAAATTGCGCCCGTTGATGTGGATTTGTTCCGACCACGCGAGTTGTTTCATGATGGGAACGTTAGTCTAGGCTGTCTATGAGCCCGTATTCCTGCTGGCGTCCGTTTCCGCCAGCCTTTAGGGGACCTATGGGAAGGCTTGTCGGAGCTTATTGGGTGTATTGGGTCCAGCTTACAGGCCAGGGTTTCCGCTGGTTTGCAGGTGCCGCGCGCTTGTCGGCACAATTCAGAGCCATATTGGAGGGCCTGGGCCGTCTTGGACGAACTTACAGGCGAACTGGCCAGAATGCGAAATTGTGGCAGACACTTATGTGTAGCCCTTCACTGATCGAGGTTCTGGGATCACCCCCTGAGCCACCAGGGCAGCCCCAGAGATCCCGAAGTCGGCACCAGGGCTGGCCCCTGGGACAATATGAGGGCATGATTGTGTCAACCCCACCCATGCTTCCAAGGCCTCGGGGAAAGTCACGCGGCGATCCGCGACAGCGCCAAAGAGCGCCCAAGAAACCAGCGAGTTTGAAGTATGGGGCCCCTGAAGAGCAGTATAGGTGTCCAAATGTCGAAGAAGGAAGATTAAAGTCCTAAGGATACTCCATACAATGCCCGCCACGGCGCGGTGGCAGATAGATGCCGGCGTATGCGGCGGGATCGTGAGTGCGACCGGAGCAGGACGTGGTGCGCACGGATTGTAGCCGGGATAGTTTTTCAGGCAGGCGGTTGTGTTGTCGCAGTTACAAATAATAATATATATATATATATATATATATATATATGCATACGGCGTGTTGGGTTTCATTATGTTCCGATGTTTGTAGTGTTTACAGATGTTCCGGAGATGTCGCTCTATAAACGTTGTCGCACCCAATTGTGAGAGTCGACACGATTGATTATGGCAATTGTTCCTGAGCAGCACTATTGCTATGCGCCGCCGTCACCGCGGGGTGCATGAGACATCAGCGCCAAAATGAGTGGTTGATTTGTGAATGCACAGAAGAACCCAGATGTCACATTGGGGCGTTCGCGCAGAAGGAGAAAGGTTTGCCGCTTACCCTGCATCAAATGCATCCGTTCTGTGTTGTGCGCGCCCGTCTTGAAAGAAAGACTTGCGCAAATATCCCGATGTACCCGGAAAGTTGACGAGTACGAATATTATTGTGCCCGCTGGTGTCCGCGAATCAATCAGGCATATTTGGTTGGCGCTTCTATAGATAGAAGGGGAGAAAAACAAACAAAAAAAAAAAACATAATGTGTTAGCACTGCATACGCAAAGCCAGTATCCACTGGCACCGAAATTTGCGATTTGCGAATCACAAGCTCCACCAGAAGCGCATCGCATGCAATCTCACGATACGCCCAAGACGCAGCATGGCGGTCCATCCACGCCTAATTCTTCACGGTTGCCCATGAGAGTTGACGGGAAAGGAGACGAAGAGACACATATGGTTCAAGCGACCGACCAGGGTAAACAGAGAGATCTTCGGGGGCGAGGGGGTGATTTTGGATGGGCTCTTCGGGTCACCCGTGGGGGCGAGGGGAGGAGGAGGAGGAGAAGGAGGAAGACGACGACGACCACCACCACCACGACGACTACGAGGAAGAGGAGGAAAAGGAAAAGTAAGACGATGGGAGCAAGGACGAGGAGGAGGATGAGGAGGGGGAGGAGGAGGAGGACAACGAGAACGAAGACAACCATCAAAATCGCCTCTTGGAGCCCTCTTGGGACTTTTTTAGGGGAGTCTGGGGTCCTCTCGGAACCCTCTTGGGAGCCCTGGATGGCCTCTGGAGGCCACGTTGGAGGCCATCGATCAAAGGCGGGGGTCACCGATTTCTGCGCCTTCCCACCCCGACCCCCCCCGAGCCCTCGAAATCCCCTCTGGGGGCGCTCTTGGGCGCTCTTAGGGCCGGCTGCGGGGGCCTCTTCGGCCCCTCTTGGGGCTCTCTTGGGCGATCTTGTGGCAATTCTGAGCCCTCGAAGCGCACCGGAAGCGAAAAGACGAGAAGGCACAAGTCACTGATTGTCCTTAGGGGGTTGAAGGACCTTGGCCTGTTGGGGAGGTTCTTCGGGGGGATCCGAGAAACAGTTTTGTGGCCCTCGTCGGATTTCCTAGGGGTATGCCGGAAACTATATTGAACCATATTCGGCTATCTTGAGCAGTCTTAGAGGCCATTTTGGAGCATCGGAGGCCTTCTTGGAGGCCATGTTGTAGCCCTCCTCATCGTCGTCCTCATCATTGTCAGCATCATCATCATCATCATCATCATCATCATCATCATCATCATCATCATCATCATCATCATCATCATCGTCATCATCGTCATCGTCATCGTCATCGTCATCATCATGATCATGATGAGCATCATCCGAATCATCATCAGTAGCAGCATCAGCATCAGCATCAGCAGCACGTGACCGCGTCCATTTCGGCATACCCCTCACACGCGTCGTGGCCCATAGGGAGCTCCACCGAAAGCCCCACTGGCAGGGTTCGCATGCGTGACCACACCAATCGTGGTATACCTCACACGCTTCGTGGCCCTTTTGGGAGCTCACCCGAAGGCCCCAGTGGCAGGGCACGCATGCGAGACCGCGCCCATTTTGGCACACACACACATACATGTTTCGCGTCGGCGGCTGGGCAGAGGCTACTGCTCCGACGCCCAGGCATCAGTGGGGCGCGCTAGATGAAAAATTGGGCCGCCACGGAGGAGGAGACCCCGGCGCAGGCGGGAAAACAGGAAGCCGGGCCGGTCAGGCAAGTCACGTGCGCCGGTCGTTGCGGCGCGGCGCGGTGCAAGCGCGTCAGGCGCCCCTCGCGGAGCGCGCAGTCGTCGGAAGGCAGGGACACGAAAAAGAGAAGCAAGCGAAGGCGAGACGGTGGGGCCCCTCGCGGGGCGGTGGCCGAGGCGGCGCTGGGGCGCGGGGGCGGCAGGCACAAGCAGGGCAGGCTCGCGGCCTGGGGGGCAGCGAGGAGGCGGCGGCGCGGGCTGCGGAGGCGAGGTGCAGCATCAGGGCGGCGCCACTCCAAGGAGGCGGGCGCAGAGGGGCGGCGCGCCAGCGCGGCGGGCCACGCTGAAGTCAGGCGGGCGGCGGCCTAGGGCGCGAAGCGGGCGGCTGGAGCAAGAAAAACCCACAGTGGGCTGGAGAGACCAGCGGGCTGGGAAAGGCAGAGCGGAGGGAAGCCAAAAGAGGCGGGGCCCGACCAGCAAGCCAGCCACGGCAGTTGAGGGGCCAGAAAAAAAGGGGCCAGGGGAGGCGCGGACGCCAAAAAAACGGCGCCGCCCAAAAAGAGAAGCGGGCCGCGAGGGGGGGGGACAGGATCGACGCCTGGGGGGGGCCCGGGACGGAGAGCGAAATAGCGTTGCGGGCGAGGCCAGCGGGGCCGAGGCGGAAGGCGCAGAGAGAGAGCGGACTGAAGAGAAGAGCCGCTACGGAGCGACCTCGCGCGCCACCGCGGGCATATCCACGCGACAGGCAGCGGCGGCGACGCGCGCGCGTCCCTACGGGACAGAACCACAGGACCGCGGCGGGCGCTGCGTCGTCGGCAGCACCGGATGGGCTGGGGCGAAGCGGGCCCGCGGCCGCGCGCGAAAAGCGGGCAAGGCCACGCTCAGAGCAGCAGGGCCAGAGACGAGCCAAAAGAAATGCGCAGGACCGTCAGATTCGCAGTGAGAGCCGAAGGCCGCGCTGGGGTGCTGAGAGGAGCCTGGCGACCCGGCAAGCCCAGAGCACCCCAAGCGTGCTGCAAACAGCGCTGATGCGAGGCAAGCCGGGAAGAGGCGGCAGGCCAGGGGGGCGGGGCGCCAGAGAGGCCGTCAACAAGGCGCAGAAATGAGAGAGACCGCGCCCCCTTCGGGAGCTGGCAACCCGAGCGAGCGAAGGCACAGATGACAAGGGTGGGGGCGGACTGTCAGTCGCTGGGCCAGATGCCCGAAGAATCCACCCCCCCACCCGTCGAAGGCCATCCAGAAAGCGTTCTCGACG